CAATCCTTCTGACCTTCGTATCCTGCCGACTACGACCCTTCCGACCGCCGTCTCCCTTGACTACAGTCCTTCCAAACATCATCGCCAACTATGGTCCTTTTGACCTCCGTCTCCTGCCGACTACGGTCTTTCCAACCACCATCTCCCGCGACTACAATCCTTCAGACCACCATCTACCAACTACGGTCCTCCCGACCTCTGTCGCCCATCTCGACTACGGTCTTTTTGACGATAGCCACCTAACTACGATCTTTTCAACCTCCGTCGCCCGATTACAGTCCTTCCAACCACCGTCATCCGACTACGGTCCTGCTGACCTACATTGCTCGTCGACAATGTTCCTGCCACCCAAACAAATATATCAACACTGATTCTTCCAACTCCCACCATATATTGCACAATATATGATGTATATTTGCTACATCGAGTCAAGATCTTCCTCCTAAGGAAGGGCCTCATTTGTAATCGATTGTAAATACCGGTGGATTCAATCAAATTGGGCTAGGCCCCGTGGGTTTTCTCCTTTCAAGGATTTCCAAGTAAAAAATAACAGTGTCCCTTATAAACCCTCTAACAATACTCTCTTATTTATTTGTGTTGGATCTTCATACAAAGATAAGACGCTAAACTATATCACTCTTCTACTGCGAATATTCCAGGATGCAACACTATGCATTTTCTATGTTTGTATTTTCCTCTGACCTGAGTTGCTCTACATTTCCAATATATGTATGCTTTCTGCTACAATTTGCTAATATTTTCGTTATGGTATCAAAGCAGTTGTCTTCCGACACTCTGTTTTGAATTGCTATGAGTTGTTTGTGTTCGGTTCTCCATTGATTCAACTGTCATTAAACTTGGTGAAATTTTAATTTCTTCTCAGCTTACATTTCTTATATCCAATATTAAAAATATTGTGCATCTACAACAACTTGTTGATAATTATCCAACTTGGTGCTCTCAAATCCTCAACCTATTTACTGTAAATTGGTTTGATGGATATCTTGATGACACCACTATTTGTCCCTCTAAACATTCCGTCTTCAATACCAGACAACTAACACCCAATCCTCAATTTACTCTTTCGTCTTCTCATATATCAAAATTTGGTTGTTACCCTATATTCAACCATATCCCCCAACTTCTTCATAATACAATCTCAACTTAGACACTTGTCACTCACTCTCAACATGAAAAATCAGTCCATGATTGGTTATCCCTCAACAGTGAAACTCATAGTTGATAGCAATGTAGCAAGTGGAGGTTCCATTGATGTTGAAGATATAATTTTGTATATTTAAATGGTTCGCCAACAAACTATCAAGCCTTTAAGACATCTATTCATACAAAGCTTTCTATGATAAGCCTCAACGACTTTTATTCTCTTCTTTTGTAGTGAAGAGGCAAACCGTACAACTGAAGCTGCTAAAGAACTTACTATCACAGACTCCACTCCCTCAACAAATTCAAAATTTGCTCTTACACAATTCAAGGTAGTGGCCGTGGTAATTTTTCTGCAGCTAGAGGTCGTGGCAGAGCTTTATCCAAAACTTTCTCCTCCTTTGTTTCATTCAAGGGCACACGCCCCAGACCTCTCGCCGACAGCCAAATCTCTAAAAAATGAGGTCATTCAACATTTAATTGTTCGCATCGAACAAATCTAACTTATTCTCCACCAAATGCATCTACTACTCATGTTTTACTTGTTGACGCCTTAGGTTCTTCTTCTCCATGGTACTAGATAGTAGTGTCACAACTCATTTAAGATTTCTAGTCTATTCAACAACCATCCACTTATGAAAGTTCTGACCATGTTCTTCTTCGCAATAGAAATGCTCTACCCATTACCCATTCTTCACTCAAGGTTTTCCTTCCTACACTATCACGTAAACTTTCCCCAACTCCTTTACTTCATGTTCTTAATCTCTCTCATAACCTTCTTTCTATCTCTCAACTTACCAACGATAATAACTATTATATTTTATTTCATGGTTTGAGCTACACTATAAAGGATCAAAATAATCATCGCACTCTTCTCCACGATCCCTGCCATAACGATCTCTACCCTGTGTCACTCTCCTCTTCAACAATTATGTTTATGCAACTGCTCTGCTATCAGTTTCAACCTCTTCAAACATCTAGCAACGTCGCTTGGGTCACCCCAACTCCTCTATTTTCACTGTATTTGTAAAACAAATTCCTAATATATGTATTTCTTCTTCTTTTTCTACTAATTTTAATTCATGTGTTCTTGCCAAGAGTCACCGTTTACCTTTTAATGAATCAAATATCATTTCTACTTCTCTTCAACTCATTCATGTGGACTTCAGAGGCCCATCCCCTATTCCTTCCAATGCAAGTTTTTGATTTATGTTATCTTCATTGATGATGACATCCACTACACTTGGATATATCCATTAAAACACAAATATGAAACTATTCTAAAATTTATCACATTCAAGAAATTTATTGAAAAATAATTTAATTTAGCCATTTGTATACTACAAACTGATGGTGGAGATGAATTTCCCAATAACCAACTCACTACATTTCTCACTCATCATGGAATTTACCACCAATACACTCCATCAGAAAATGGTATAACTAAACAAAAACATCGCCATCTTTTAGACACTATTCGAGTCTACTCATTGAATCCCAATTACCTTTCCACTTATGGGTTGAAGCTTTGCTAATTGTTGTATATTTAATAAATCGACTACCGTCTCCTATCATCTTCATCTCACTCCCTTTCAACTACTATATAATCAACCCCTGAATATTCTCACATTCGTATTTTTGGTTGCAAATGCTATCCCTGACATCATCCACATGCCCCACACAAACTTGCCCCTCACCTAACATCTTGAACTTTTTTAGGTTCTACTCAATCTCAAAAGGCTACATACATAACAATCCTTTAATCAATCACATTTTCATCTCCAAAAACGTTAACTTTGATGAAAATTCAACTGCTCCCTTCATTTCTTCACCTTCCAACACCTCCACAACACCATCACTTGCTACAATTTCAACTCCACTTCCTCCTACTAGTTCAACACTCCTATTCACTTCCCTAAATCAACATTTTCCAACACAACTACTCAAACGTCATCCATTTCACCATCCATTCACTCAACACTTACTTCCTCATCTCCTATTATGTGTCCTTCATCATATTCTTCTTCGACCTCATCTACTTCTACAACACCACCTTCCAAACACCCAATGCTTCCTCGGTTTCAAACAGGTCATCTCAAACCTTGTCAAATTCTTGACCTCAACCATACCATCTCTCCTAATCCTACATGCTACACTCAGCTATAAAAACTCCTAAATAGCATGCCTACTACTGAATTCCACACCCTCCAATCCCTAGGTACTTGGACCTTGGCTCCATCTCATCTCACTCAAAATGTCATTGGCTGTAAATGAATTTTTAAAATCAAATGCCACTTTGATAGCTTCATTGCTCGACACAAGGCTAGATTAGTTCCTCAAGACTTTAAAAAACAGTATGACATCGACTATCTTGAAACTTTCAGCTCAGTCGCCAAATCACCTATCATCCGTTTATTCCTTATCGTTGCTCTTAACTTCAACTGGCAAATTTTACAGCTTGATGTGGCAAATGCATTTCTCCAAGGCCCCTTACATGGCATGGTCTACATGACCCAACCTGAACGCTTTACGAATCCTAAAAATTGCTATCATGTGTGCTTGTTCAAAAAAAAAAAAAAAACCATTTACGGAGTTAAGGAAGCTCCTTAGCAATAGTTTGCTACCCTTTCCTCATATCTACAGACTACAGTAGCAAGGATTTCATAGCAGCTCAGCTGATGCTTCTTTTATGATCTTCCACAGTAACAATATCCAAATATACATTCTCATCTATATGGATAACATCTTAATTACTGTTAACCATTCACCAACTATCTCCACACAGCTTCACAAACTTCAACCACAATTTCATATAAGAAATTTAGGTCCTCTTACTTGCTGGCTTGGAATTGATGTTCATTTATCTCTTGCCAGTTACCATCTTACTCAGAAACATACATTCATGACCTCCTCAACAAAGCCGGCATGCTTAACTGCAAACCACTTTCCAATCCTCTCCCATCCAAATGGCCCATAGCTCCGACTCTCCAAAATCCCTTTGCCAACCCTGCCCTTTATCGCCAACTAGCATGATCTCTTCGGTACCTTACAACAACAAAACCTGATATTGCATTCACTATCAATAAAATCTGCCAGAACATGCACCAACCTTTAGAATGCCATGACGAAATGCTGAAACGCATTCTTTGCTATCTCCAAGGCAGTTCTAGTTATGGTCTTCTCATTCAAAAATGCCCACTCAAGCTTTATGCCTTCTCTGATGTGGGCTAGGTAGGTGATTTAAATGTATGTGTTCTGCTTCAGTTTGCTGATTCCATCAGTAACGAGGGCAATCTTAAAATAAGACTCTCTTGGATGGTGATAGTAATAGTACTTTAAAACGAAAAAGATAAAATAATAAAAGCTAAAGTTTACAAAGCTTCTGATTAGATGTGCGAGTTTCTTAATATTTTTCCATAAGAAAACTTGGACAACCTACTGCACAAGATGGTCGTATAGCATGTGCATCACGAATAATAATGAAAAAACAATCATACCAAAAAGTTTATTTATAGTCAACAACACATGATCCGCAACGCTTTCCCCATTTTTTAGAATTTATTTATTACGCAGAAGAACTGAATGCTGCTTATTTTGATACGAAGCGATATGGAATGTGGATGTTGCATACCAAGTATTGTTAAACAGGCAAAGGTTGAGAATCTTGATCTTCTTTTATTCAATTATATAATTTTTTTTCCTTTTCTTAATTTCACGAGCAACTTCTTGCTCCATTCTCCTCATGAGATTAGGATCAAGAAGCTACAATAAAAAAAGAGAAAGAAAAAAACAATGATAAGTTTCACAAATAAGATAACTGCAAAAATTTCAGAACTTACGTCTTTTTACCCTTTCCCCAAAACATAGTTCCAAATAGAAGACCAGTGACAACTGTTGAGAAAAACCGGATGGCATTATATTGTGGATTCCTCCAATAAGACCAATGCTGTTTCCAGAAACAAGCGGTGCATTGAGTTACAAAATTCTGGGCATACTTAGTAGAAAAAGCAAGGTCGGTGGAACCAGATTTTGGAGTGCTCAACTCCTTGATGAGCTCTTGATTTTTTCTGTTATGGAAGAGAAACATGAATTAAGTGAGAAGGTTACCGGATGGAATTGGTTAAATAATAACGCCTTAATGGGCCTTTGGCCTTCAGAAAATCAAATGTTCAAATCCATTCAGTTCCATGAAAAAAAAAGACATGGCTTCCCTTTTTCTTTGCAGTAGGCTGCATTAGCTTTTATTGTGAGTGGGAGAGGGAGGAGGGAGGGCGGTGGGCGGAGAGAGAGAGTGCACGTGTGTGAGAAAAAAAACTGATACTTTGACTGGTTTGAGAATAAGTAACATTTTCTTACTGATAAAGAGAGGAATGGGAATAAAATTCAGCAAAATCCAGGTTCAGCTGAGCTTCAATAATAGGGGAAGTAATTTCCAGCATCCATGTGGCAGGATTATAACCTTCAGTAATTCTGGAGACCCCTGGAATTGACTGAATTTTCTGTATTAGTTTAAATAAAGAAGGTATATGTTGTCTCTTTACAATAACAATTCACAATGTTGTTACTATTAATAATATCATTTGGATAACGTTATTGAAGAACCAACATTTCACTGGCATTGAAGTAGAGATACGATATCAATGAACCTAGATAATCTATTCAAATAATTAAAGCAAGTTTGAATCTTTAACCAGAATCCCATCTGAAAAGAGAAGTATTGTTGCAAGAAAGCACTAATTAATTTCATGCTAACGTAAGTAATTAGCTCAAAATGAAAAATTCTGCTCACATTTGAAAAAATGCAGCTAGATTCACAACATGAAAACTTACTTCAAAATATTCTATAAGCTTGGAAGAATGATGCCCAAGTTCTCCAGCATATATTAATTGTCCTCCCAGTTTCATTAGAAGTAACTGCAATCAGAATGAAACATTATCCATCAGGATTATCTATATATTGAGTATTATTGAGTCATGATATAATAAAAAAAAGTCGAAAAAATACAAACCTCATCAAAAGTTTCAAAAATATCAATGCTTGGCTGATGGATGGTGCATACCACCGTTCGTCCGGTATTCACAGTATTCCTCACTGTCCGCATAACAATTGCGGCAGCTCTAGCATCAAGACCAGATGTTGGCTCATCCATGAAGATGATGGATGGATTTGCAACCAATTCGACAGCAATTGTTAGCCTCTTTCTCTGTTCAGTTGATAGACCATCCACCCCAGGAAGGCCCACTAAAGCATTCCTCAACAGGTTAAGCTCAACCAAATTCATAATCTCTTCCACAAACATCTTCATACACAATGTTTTCTACATGTTAGAATTGGCCATTTGAAATTCTATAATATTGACTGTAAAAATAATCAAATTGTTAATTATAATTTTCTGTTAGTCAAATTCTATAATACAAATAAAAGTGATATTAAGAAGGAAAAAAGCTTCACAAAATGAAATAATTTAGGATTCTACAACTGTAAAATATTGTTACTGAAAAGTTGTACTTGTACCATACAGGTTGCAACATAATAAAGCCAAACTTTCAACATAAATTAGCAATTCTCAATCATACATGAGCTGGGGAGTCATTATTGAGAAGTTAAGATACATAATATAACTAAACGTTATTTTCCATTGCTTATTTGCTAGATCGTCCCACGAGCTTTAAAAGAGCGAGTAGAGAAGGACATGAAGCAGAGTTACCTTTCTAGTTTCTTGGTCTATTTCTGGGGAAAGACGAAGCCAGGCTGAGTATGTCAGCGATTCATATACAGTAACATGTGGTGAATGAATGTCATTCTGTTCACAGTACCCACTAACCCGAGCAAATGTTTCTTGCTTTTTGGGGTATCCAGAAATATTTATATTTCCTTCAATATGCCCTCCAGTTTTCCTTCCAGCTAATACATCCATCAATGTAGTCTTCCCAGCTCCACTTACACCAACTAGAGCTGTCAAGATGCCTGGTCTAAATGCACCACTCACGTCACAGAGCAATTGAAGCCGTTTTTCTTCAACTCCTCGTTTTTTCATTTCCTACGGGGACAGAAGTACGGACATGTTAATAATATTACCGTAAGTTCTGAAGATAAGAAACCAAAATAAAGACTAACAATTTTCAAGTAACCAAAATTCTATTAGTTGGGAAATGTAAGTGGAGACATGAGTTGAAGCAAATCTAAGAGTTTAAGAGTCATCGAAAATGCAAGTTTTGTCCATTAAGGCGAACAAACGGAAAGTAACTTTTATTTTAGTAGTTTGAATGTTTTTCTTTAAGTAGGTGTTTAGCTTTCCTGTTTCCTTTTTAATTTTGGTAAAACCCGCCGATGTTACCATATAAGAGATGATGGCTTTTTTTTTTTTTTTGATGGCTATTGATTATCTAAGTTCATTGGATTTCTTTGGATTAATTTGACTATTTGTTGCTATTGTTGGATTCTTAGTATTAATTGGTTATGAATTTTTCAGCTTCAGCAGTTTCATTTTGTATTCCAACCAAACAATAAAATTTGTACAGCTCCTGCATTTGAAATACTTTACAGCCTAAAGTAATCCAACCAAATAGCCCTTAAATGATCAGAAAAATCATATTTGTTTAATGCAATCAATCCCAATAGTGTAGGACGAGAAGAGCAACCATTTTAGTGAAATAGGAGCACTTTTAGTTTCAATGGATCCACTTTGACTTGCAACATTTGCACTACCTAAGGCCTTTTCTAGGCATTCAGTTCAAGCATCATTTGGGCCTGATGAGATGGGATAGTATAGAGCCTTTCCGAGTTTTAAGAGCTTAGTATGCTCGGCTAGAGCAGTCAAAGAGGAGATCCAGATTTAAACTTTAGCATTAAGTCAAGGGAGAGAATTTTTTTGCATCAAGTCTATTTTGCATTGCATGGAATATAATATTATTAGAATACTCTTATTTATGGAGAATTGAATCAAATGGTTATGACTGTACATCTAGAAGAACAAATATATATTTATGGAAACCTTTTGTGAAATCTTCAAGTGTTCTATTGTGATTTGTGCATTTGTTATATGATTCATCGAGATTTGGAATCCCATCTTGAGATTAACATCTGATTCATCTAGAGAATTATGCAAACATACAATTCTTTCTTCTCATAAATAGTTCAATCACCTAAATATATATGGAAGAGTTCTCTTAAGATTAGGATGGACATCTCTCTTGCTTCTCAATTGAAATATTCTCTTTGTGGGTAGGGTTTCATAGAGGATTTGGCGGCTTCTACAATGCATGAAATAATAAGAAATTGTGGTGAGTTAATTTAGTTTGTCAAATTACTCATGGGCTTCTTTGAGGGTGTGCTTAGAAATATACGAAGGGCAGCTAAAGCTTCTTTGATTGTGTATGTCTTTTGTGACATTTGACAATGAATAAATTCTTCTCTTTTCTCTCCTACACATAGACTAGGTTGAAAATAAACCTCATAAAAGATAGAACTTTCTATGTTAGTTATTATCTTTCTCTTTGGTGAATATCGCACTAAATTTGATGCTCTCATTTCGATAAATTACAGCACAAAATTCTGGAAGAATACCCAGATTTTCAGTCAAAAGAATACATACATGTAACATTCATTACCCATATTTAACTTGCAATCTTAAATCATTAAATTGGAAGCAGGCAAAAGGTCATAGAAATTTCCATCCTGATTAGTATATCAACCCTACTTTAACAATTACTGTTTGAATTCCAACAAAGAGAGTAACCATGCCAAAAAAAAATCTAAGTAATGTTCAGGTCTTTGGCAGTGACTTTACATGCACTTACTAAAAGAAAGGCATCATATTAATCAAGAAATAGAACAAATAGATTACAGAACTCTCATTTGACCAGAAAAAAAATTCACTCAATATAGTAGGCGTAACTGAAAGAAACTTTTTAGAGTTCATTTATTAATTTTGATGAAATAATTGACTTACAGAAGGCATTTCCACGTAATAGTTCACATGTTCAAATACTAGCGAAAGGGCCCGGAAAGGCAAAACCATTCCTCGTGTAACTTGATTGTGCGTGCTTCTGTCTCTGACAGGATTCTTCAGAGTTGTTTCCATTTCCGTATCTAACCAATCAACAACAGAATGAGTCATAGATAATGAGTTGTTCTTTGATCATTCAAAAGGAAGTAGCACAAAAACCTATGAAATCTCTTCCTTTTCCTTTTATTAACAAATTCTTAGAGAAAGCATAAAGTTGCCTGTTTGTTACATTTTAAGGATAATGAAAAAAATAAAAAAAAGCATAATCAATTCTAGTAATAGATTCAGAAAGATAGCTACGTTCACGTGATATAGCAACTCTGGAGTAAATTACCCGGCACAGCTATATCTAAACTGGCTGTATCATTTTAACTTATGCCTATCTTGAAAGCCCTGCTCTTAGCCTTCCAAAGAGACAAGGGTCGAAATAAAGCACTATCTTCCTCCTTTTAGTGTTTTAATTATACCTTAATTTAATTTTATTCTGATGCACAAAGTCATCACTCATTGAACTAGTAAATTAAGTGCATGATTCTGCCAACTTCACATATTTCGAATACACCTTATAAACTATAGTGTAGTTCAGAAGTTGAGATGAATCTCAGCACTGCACGCACCTACAACATTAGATTTAGCTGATGCTTTGACTCTTTCTGCTAATCTGGATAAATCTTCCATCTCTTCTTCCTCACTTACAATGATAGCTTTAGAATTCGTAATGGCTACAATGCAAGATAAACGTTATAAAAAAAAGAGTGAATTCTGCACCAGTGTCAAAAGACAGATCAAAGTGTCAAAAGACAGATCAAAGGTGGAACACTTACGATTCAGATAAATTAATGCCAACATGAAGCAAATATTAAATAGAAGAGCAAAACCAAAAAGCACTCCAATAGAAATCCAGTACCAATAGCCATTCACAAACATAGCCCTTGACTTGAGAATTGCCTTTCCAATTGTTGATTCATTTATGTTGATGGCATTGTTTGGCTGAAATAAAAATAAATCCAAAAATATCAACATAGAAAGGAGGGTTTTCCAAGTATGAATAGGCAACTGTACTTCTTAACTGTAGAGGCCATCAAAGAAAAAGAAAAAGTAAAAAATGGTAGAAATTTCCTGAAGAGCACCATAAAATTTACCTTGCTCCATCTAGGATCAAGAAATTCATTTATAGCAATGGCATTTTGTCCATACATCATCGGAGAAATCCAATAACCCCATATCCACCATGGCTGAATGTCATCTGTCCAGAAAATGAGAAAGGAACAAAGTGAGGACTGCCAACATTCTAACTAGAAATTTTAGTGAGTCTATTGGAGAAGTAAAACTTGTAATGATGATGATTATCAAGCTCCTGGCTTCTTCCCAAGGAACAAACTGTTACTGGAAGAAAAAAATAGATGTGGATAAAATTATCTTGATGTTACCTTTGGAGATAACAAATCCTCCTAGAACAAAGACAACAAGTATGGCAAATACTCCGAATGTGTTAGCTATGACCATAGTTCTTCCAGATGCAGCAATGAATCTAAAGAGAGCAAGAGACATTTGGTGAACAGAGAAATATGCCAAGAACTGCCGGAAGAACCTGTTAATGTTAAAAAAATGCCATCATAAGAAACATAATTAATATTTGTTCAGGTTCCGTTTCTTAAATAAAAATAGAAAATATCAGTAACACATATTACACATGTTGTGATAAGCAGACATAAGTGATACGGGCGTGTAAAATTTAAGGCATAAATGCACCAATAAGGTTTTAGATAATTTAATGTAAGATGAAAATAGGTAGAGCAAAATTAATAAAATTAGAAGTTATCCACAACTTGCACAAAATAGGGCTATCAACTCATGTCACTCGAAAGGATTTAAGGATTCAAAACTCCAAACACACAATGTTGGGATAAGACTAATGATGATGATTCAATTTTTATGTGTTTGATTCAAATTTCAAGAGCATAAGCACGGAATCAATAGGATAACTTTTGGATAAAAAATGCAACAAAAGAACCATGAAACCACTAAAAAGAAACCTGGCACCAAAACATAAGTAAAATATTTACCGGCTGGCCGCAGGAGCAAAACCAATCCCATAGTATGTAATAAGTATCCATATTGATGATTCAACTAGAGAGATGGGAATCTTGACAACGACATATGATAGCACAAATGCCCAAGGAGGATAAAACAAGAAATCTCTTTGTTTATAGAAGACAGGAAGTCTGAAAATTGTCATAGCCAGCTCTGCCATACCATTGAACACCATATTTATCAAACTGAAGAATAGCACACCATAGTAGGTTCCACCATCAGCAATTGTTTCATGGTGCATATTGGTTCTCAAGAATAGAGTCAAGGTTATCACAGCCATAATTGTTAACTGGGTAATCTTAAATATGTAGATAAATGAATTGCGCTTCATCAGTAACAATTCCTTGTCGAAGCATGCCTTGAAGAGCTCCCAGCTGGACATGCCATACTTCTTTGTTGTCAATGCAGCAGGATGGGCTTTGGATTTATCAAAAGGGATTTTAAGATCTTCTGCAAGCCTTTCTCCAATATAAAAAGTCTTGAAAGAACTGGAAAATTCGGAGACAGAAATATGACGGTAAGGTTGATCTTCCCTAAACCAGTATTGCTCTTGATCCTTCCTTGATGTGACCTCTTGCAGGAAGTCTGCAATTCCTTTCCTTTCTGGGCATTTGAAGCCCATGAACTCAAAGAACTCTAGGGTGTTCTCACGAGGTCCTTGATAGACAATCTGACCCTCCGACAACAGAATAACATCATCAAAAAGTTCAAAAGTCTCAGGTGCTGGCTGAAGAAGAGAGACAAGCACAGTTCCATCCATGACATGCACCATCTGTCTAATGAACTTGACAATCTGAAACGTGGTGGAACTATCGAGTCCAGTTGATATTTCATCCATAAATAGTGCCCTTGCAGGCCCAGCCAACATCTCACCTGTAAAAAGAAAAATCACATAGCCCAAGCTATTTAGGATAGAATGAGTGAATTAGCAACCATTAAACTTTTTAGAATGCCCCGCAAACTATAGGAAATTAAAGCATTTGAGATGCCAATTTCCATCATTCATATACCAGGATAAAGAATGAAAATCAAAGAGTTCAGATATCTAATTCAGGTTACATAGATTAATGTAAGTAGCCATGACCCATTTCAAGGAAATGAATTTCACACTAGAAGCAACAAATGATCTTAAATAGTTTTTCAAGTTATAGTTTACCAAATCCTAGATTACACATATTAGGATGTCATGCCATAATTGGTTAATCATCATCATTAGCCTAATCCAACTATATAGAGTTGGCCGTAGGTATGCTCTTCCATTCATGTTTAGTGGAACATGAGATATTCTAATTTGAGCAAGTCCTTTTACATCTTCTAACCACATTACCCTTGTTCTACCACATCATTAGCTTATTTTCATATTACCTACAAGTGTTTGTCTTATCAGTGGAGGTTTTTGATAGGAAGTAGTAGTAGAAATAGAAAACGATTGCTGAAATCAGAATTTAAGTAGGAAAAAACAAGTAGGTTTTGAAGATTTAATGGAGGAAAAAATAAGAAAAAACACTCTTGATTGAATAATAGATGAAAGAAAATAGCAAGATACAATTGATCCTCAATTCAAGAGGATGATCTATCTCTCCGAAATCTCCAGACGCCGCTAGAGCCCAAGAACACCAAAGCACTACAAAAACTAAGAAAACTAGAGATAACCCTAAACCCTAACCCTAATCCTAATCCAACCCTACTACATAAAGCACATAAATTAAACTCCCAAAAGATTAAACAAACCTTCTAAACTCAAAATTCCCTCATAATCTCTCTCTCTCTCTCTCTCTATCTCCCTCTACATAAGCTGCGGGCCCCACCTGGGGGAAACAACAGGCTTCCACCTGCACCTGCTGTATATAAGGGGATGGCCCTTATTTTGGGCTGACATGACCGGTCCCTCCTAGACCAATCTATCAATACTTCGCACCCAAAGAATCACCTTGTCTTGAAGGTGAAAAGAGGGGAATTGATATTGCATCCTCTCGTGCAGCTCCCATGTAGCGTCATAATCGGGAAGGTCTCTCCATTTAATTAACACTTCTTTGATGTCTCCTTTTCCCTGTCATACCTCCTATAGCTCTAATGGTTCTAGAACCACTTCCAATTCTTCTATCAACATGGCTGGCAACTCTAAACAAGCTGTGTGATCCTCAATAGCTCTTCTTAACTGAGATACGTGGAACACTGGATGTATGGCAGTGATGGGGGGTAACCTCAAACGATAAGCTACTACTCCAAACCTCTCTGATATCTTTGAAGGGGAAAAATATCACCGAGCTAGCTCCTCATTCCTCTTGTTAGCTACTGTCCTCTGTCTGTAAGAGGAAGCTTCAAGAAAGCTCTATCCCCAACTATAAACTGGATGTCCTTCATCTGCCCATCCACATGTTTCTTCATAATTTGTTGAACTCTCAATAGATGCATTTTTCAATTTTTCCAACACCCTTTTCAGCTCCTTCAAGTATTCTTCTATTGAAGAAACTGGAGTGCTATTTTGCCTAAAATGCACCAAGTTAGGTGGGTCTCATCCATACAACACCTTGAACGAGATCATCTGGGAAGCAAAATGATATGAAGTGTTGTACCAGTACTCCGCCCAAGCTAGCCACTTGGCCAAAAGCCGAGATTTCTCCAACAGAACATCGTAGGTATATCTCCAAGCTCATGTTGACCACCTCCATCTGCCCATCCATCTAGGGAAGGTAAGCTGTACTTCTCTTCAGTACTGTCCCCTGCAACCTGAATAACTCTCTGGGGAAATAGCTGAGGAACATCTTGTCATTGTCGGACACTATAGACTCCGGTACCCCATATAGTTGGACCACCACTCTGCTGAATGCTGCAGCCACTGTCACTGTTGTGTAGGGATATTGTAGGGGGATGAAGTGAGCATGCTTGCTCAGTTTGTCCATTACCACTAGAATCAACCCTTCAAATCAAGTAGCCCATCTATAAAATTCATTGATGCCTCCTCCCACACCAGATCAGGTAGAGATAGGGATTGAAATAATCCCCCTGGAGCCATAACTATATACATATTCCTCTGACATACCTCACAACTGGCTACCAACTCCATATCTTTGTGCATCCCTTTCTAAAACAATTATGATGCTAATCTCCTATAGATTTTCTGCACCTCTGAGTGACCCCCAATCATACTCCCATGGAAGTCTTGCAGTAGGTGTGGAATATGGACTAATATCCTAGGCATCACAAATCCCTCCTAATACATCAACCTTCCCTCTTATAGAGAATAACTAGGATGAATGATGAGGACATCAACAGGAGATTCCGGCGCGTCTATCACCGGAGGAATCATAAATCGACAACTATGATTATTTGTCTTTATTTATGATGCATTTTATATATTATTTTTGTTTATGCTTTAGTCTTTACCATTGTACCCCTGTGAGGGATTAGTTTGTGTTGTAGCCAAAAGGATATTTTAGTCTTTGAGTTTTTTGCTGCTTTGAGGCCTATATATGAGGGCCTAACTTTGTATGAGTTTTTTTATGATTGCTTAATGAAATTTCAGCCTTCTAGTTCCTTTGAGTGTTGAGAGTTCTAGAGAGAGGTGAAGCCCCTAGGAGAGTGCGAGCAACACCCACCAGCCGCACGAAGTGTCCGAGCTCGTAGTCAATTTTCTTTCTCTAAATCCCCTCCTCCCCCACTACCCGCCGGCCAAAGACCCCACAACCCCCATAGTCGCCGGCCAAAGCTCCACCACAACCCCTCCCCTAGCCGTCGGTCCAAAGGTCCTCCTCCTCCCCCATAGCCGCCGGCTAAAGCCCCAAAATCCCCCATAGCTGGCCACCATGTTCCCCAAGCCCTAGCCGTCGGCTGAACCACAATTCCCTTGATTTCAATTCAAATTGCCTCTTTAAGACTTTCCTAATTTAGCCCATTACTAGTTGGGAAATTCTCTCAATTCAAATTCAAATGAATTCGAATTTCTAAATCTTTCCCAATTAGCCTAAACCTATTTTGGAAGATCTCCTAATTGCTACCAATCTGAAATTAAATTAGATTTAATTCCAAATTAATTAGATTTAATCCCCCCCCCCCTTGCCCCCCCCCCCCTCTATCCCCTCTCTCTTAATTAATTTCCCCCATTAATTCTCTCAATCAAAACCCTTCCCACTTAGGTGTGCCACCCCACCTTAGCCCAATTAGAGGAGATTCAAATTTTGAATAATTCCCTCCTTCCTCGAAATCTGAACTTAAATTTCAAATTTTAAAATTATTTTTCCTCCACAAACTAAACCCTAAAATCTGAATTTACAGCCAGCCTCTCTCCTAGCCTTGGTCGATCACCCAAACCTCTCCCTCCTCTTCATCTATTCTCCCTTACTTTATACACACTATCCAAGGAAGAAGATACACAACCCCGACCTACTTCCTCATGAATGGCCGATCCTGAACAAGACCATGGGTTAGTATACGATCATCAAGGATGCGTACATGTGTTGAGATCACCCTTCTTCGACATCAACTTGGAGATCGACCACACCGTCGACGACTACGTTGATCAGATCCTCTTCACCTTGACGACTGACATCAACGAGCATCAAACCTCCGGATAATGGCAAGTTCTCCAACATCCACTGACTTCTTCCCCTCCGGATAAGGTTTCGTTGGGCAATACTGCAGATGTCTTCTATCTTTTGGAGCCATCATTAAGTTTGCTGAAATTATTCTTCTGCTAAATAGCTCTCAAGAGTGTGAGTGAGGAGAACACGAGGTGAATTTTCTAATTGTTAACTAGAGGATTTCTGTTACTTGCGCATCTAGCTTTATTATAATTTTGTGGTTATTTTAAATTGCCCTTCTAATCTATTTTGTAATTGCATGCCAAAGCAAAACAACAATTAAGAAATCCTAGAATCTAATCTTGTGAAATATTAATTTTAAAATTGACAAGCTTAACAAATTTTATTAAATTCCTGCAATTCCTTTTATGTTTCACATCAATCGTAATTCTTATGCTTCAATAACTATGCCCTAATCCTCCCTAGATCCTCATCTCGTGCACTTTCCTCCTTAATGGCCCCCTAATCCAACATTAGCGATATCGATATTGCCATATCCTGGAGCTCCCCCATACATCTGGACAAGGCATCCGCCGCCTTGTTCTCTATCCCGGGCCTCTATTGAATTTCAAAGTCATATTTCAAATACTTTAACAGCCACCTCTGATGCTCCTCTGTCACTATCCTTTGCTCTAACAATTACTTCAGGTTCTGCTAGTCCATCCTGACAAAAAAAATGTCAACCCAATAAGTAAGGTCGCCAATTCTGGATGGCTAACACAATGGCCATCAACACACTCCCTAACACTAACTTCAGCCTACCTCTAAATGTCAACACTTGGCTAAAGTAAGCAATGGGTCGCTGGCTCTGCATGAGTAATGCTCCCAATCTATACCCTGATGCGTCCGTCTCCACTACAAAATCCAGACTGAAATCTGGTAGGGTCAGGACTGTTATGGTGGTCATGGCCTTTTTCAACCTCTCAAAAGCAGCGGTGGCGTCCTACCCCCACAAGAAGTTATTGTTCTTCAACCTTCTATCAGTGGTCAGGCGATGGTGTTCGGTCGCACGCACACGAGAAGGGTTCATGGGACGTTTGTCTCTCTCAATTGAAAGTAGAGACCATGGGGTTCTTGCTCAACTCCTCTAGACGAGACGCAGGAGACTCACGAGGCGTTCGTCTCTCTCAATCGAACGCAAAGATAGCGGGATGAAGCACTCTCCCTCCTCTCGGTTGGTTGTACACAAGAATGAACAAGCCGGAACCCGCTTCCTTTAGTTTTTAAAGAGAAGGCTTTGATAACACGGTAAATTAAGAGAATTGGACATGGAAAATGCTTAAATTTATTATACAAAACTATCCCTATTTATAGATATATACAAGATATCTTAATAAAGAAATAAATAATTACGGAATATAATCCTACCTAAATCAGCCACCCGAATATGAAAGGAGATTAGCATGATTCAGGTGAGCCTCCCACGGATCCCCATTTTGGACATAAGATCGAGAGGTAATGAACAGCTGGGATGGTTGGGATGATATTTGACAAGGAATAAGTTGGATCATCATAAAAATCAAGAACTAAATTGGATGTTTATTAATAGTCTGGGGACTATTTTAGGCTTTTACTCATTTCAAAATATATGAAATATATACAATCTTAGAAAGTATCTAATAATGAAAATATAAAATCAAGGAACAAAATAAATTCAAGAGCAAGCATCCCGGAGAACAATATGGTGATAGTGGAAGAGGAAGGAAAGACGCCATGAGTCTTAGCAAGTGTTGGTCCCAATTGGCAAAAATCATGCAAGCATTTCACATAAAATAACTATTTTAACTATTACTTAACAATGATATCACACATGGCATAATTTTTCAATTTGAATTCTTATTAAAAACGATTTTAAGTATTTGATTTAAAAACTTTACTAGTGAATTATGTTTACCAGCCATTTTATTTAATAGCCAATTATATAGATACTTTGATACCATTAAAAATACAAAATTATTCATAATATTTTTTATGTACCTCCTAATTCTAACAACCAGCATCTTTACAAGTTTCTAAATCATAAGGAAAGCTGTTTTGGCTGCCTAAATTGTCATCAAATTTTTGCGAAGCTTTGAAAAAGTGAGAAACAGTGCGAAGCTTTGAAATATTTATCAACAGCAATTAAAAAGTGCGAAGCTTTGAAAAAGTGCGAAGCTTTGAAATATGGATCAACAGCAATTAAATAGAAGTTGAAATAACACAAAATATTCATACTGAACATTCTTCAACATGGCAAATCCATCTAAATCTATTTTCTTGTATTGTTAATTTACTTTCAATATGCATGCATGCAACAACTACATACCAGTGGTCACACGTTTCTTTTGTCCACCTGAAATTCCTCTTCTCATCTCATCGCCAACAATAATATCCGCGCATATATCCAACCCAAGTACCTATTTTGTGGCATTTAATAAAATCAGCATTGCTAATGTGCACCGCAACTTATAATGACATGATCACATATATATTAGAGACAAACTACATAACATACCTTTAGAATATAGTCAGTTCCTAGGCTGGAGTTTTGCCCCTCCACAGCAACTGCCTTCATAAAGGCGTCAATTTCAGGGTCTGGTTTAATATTTGCATCTCTCTCTCTTCTTGATAACTCCGACATCAGTTCATATCTGGTTCCTACACCCAAGCACCTCCCTGAGAAATCGAAGGTCTCCCTAACTGTCACCTCTCCAATGTGAGTATCATGCTGACTGATGTAAGCGCTAGTTCTCTGGGGGAAAAATTCCGACAATTCATGACCACAATATGTGATTTTCCCAGAGACCTGCTTCCAAGTTAGTAATTAGTAATCTAAGAAATTTGCACAAAAAGCTGTCTGTCTTTAGCAAATATCAAGATACTAAAAATGTCTTTCAAGCATAAATCCAAGAAAAAAAGAACAAATATACATGCATGTGCACAAACACAGGTAGACAAACTTATATGACAAACACACTCCACTCCTTCAGTGGAACCCTAGAGGGGGGCCTACCCTAAGCCTTTTATCAATCTTTCCAGCAAGAGCTAGAAGAAGTGTTGTTTTCCCTGAGCATGGCGGTCCAAGAAGCAGAGACATCCTGAAAGTTCATTTAAAAGCTTGTAAGAATACTTTCGGACGATTCTCATAAATATTTAAAAGCATAAAAGATGCACTAGAATTCTACGTGCTTGGATTAAATCCAAAAAGAAAATTTTCATTGTACCATAGCTACCGTTGACTATTATACCAAAAAGAAAATCATTGCCTTAGAATCTATAGATTGAGAAGCTGAAAGCCTTTTATTATTGCAATCAGATGTGTTCAGTCAGTCTCCCACGGAAAATAAAACGCACTGAAAGGTTGAATTGTTACAAAACAACTGATTTTATAATCAGTTAATCTTTGATCTCAACCCAAAACTTGGAAGTTCACTAAATGCACAGGTCAACTTATGGGAATTCATCATAATTAATCTTCTATCCCAACCCAAAGCCTGAGAGTCCACCAAATGCAAAGGGTGGCAACTTTATTGGAATTCATCGTGAATAATTTTTTATCCCAACCAAAAGCTCAGGAATCCAATAAGTGCAAAGGGCATCTTATGGAAATTCATCATCATTAATCATATTCAAAGTATTTGTGATGATTCAAAACCATTCATCATTATCATATCAGCAGGATATAGGCCATAACTATCAGTGTATATATTAAGGCTATAAAATGTGTGTAAATAAGAAGTATTCCAATAAATATTTGTATTTTAGGAATACAACCATAGATTCGTCATCTTATTAGTTATGATATCAAGAATCACTCAAATATTGCCTTGCATCATGCCAATTATTTTCCATATAATAATGAGAACTGTCTATGTAAGAGCAAAAAGTCCAATAGATATGATATCAAAGCCTTGACAGTGCAAGTCAATATCCTTGTCCTCTTCTCTTGTAATATCCAAAGACTCAAATTTCTCAGGTATGCGCTTGTATTGTGTGAAACTTTGATTAGTAGCTATTTATTTAAAAGAAGGATTAATTAAAGATCAATTAGCTAGTGGAATTATAATAATTAATTGAGTTTTATTAGCAGCCGAATAGATGCTTTTGGGGAGGAAACTATTGGAAGTTGGTTGAAGAGCGGGACCCACTTCTTTTCCTTATATGGTAATCAATTCTTGGTAACTGCCGCTGGTTCAGTAAAGGAAATCAGAGAAATCCTGTAGCAATAGGCGGAGAAGCCTTGTAGCAAAGGGCGGAGAATTTCTACAGAATAAGGAGGGCAAGGTGCGGAGCTTTTAACAGAGTATTCCTGTAGCAAATCCCTTGGAATACTTGAAAGGATTTTAGCCTGCATGCGGGCTGTAGGTGCTTGCGGCTGTAAATGTTTCGGCATGTGCTGAAAGCACTGTAAAAGGGGCGATCAAGGGCCATCAATTCACAGAAATTCCTTGTGCAAATAGTGATTCTATGGTTCAAAAGAATTCTGTATATTTCAGTGAAAGGGAGTTATGTAGAAATTGTGAAAGAAGGGAAATAAATTGCAGGTATTTGAAATGATCAAATTTTTTATGAATTGTAATGAATTTGTAGTGATGTGATTATGCAAACTAGTTGAAAGAATTATGAATTAAGGTGGTAGCTTGGAGAAGAGAGAAAGGAAGAAGAGAAGGAAAGAATAAAGGAAAGAAAGGAAGATAAAAGTGAGAAGTATGCTATTAACCTTCATCTTTTATGTCACCTAAATTTAGTAACATTTCTAAAAATGATAACCTAATTGTATGGTAGGATTATTCATAGATTTATGCAGAAAGAAAACTTTGGGTTTGTGCATCAAAGGAGGAGACTTCGTGGTGTAGGTTTTGAAGAGATCAGCAATCAAAGAGGTAAATTATGTAATTAATTATAGTTGTAATCATCATGAATGGTTAATTTATCCTTTATGTTTTGAAAGCCTATTATGAAGAGATGCAGTATGAGAAATTGTTTAGTCATCATGAAGGTATATTAAAGTATTCACAATTTTTTATCCATTGAACAAGAAAGATTTGAATAGCATGTTTAAATGTACTTATTCTCAGTCTTTTTCTTAACTGATAATTTTATGCCCAAAGAAGGTTTCTGTTTTAACTTAAGTAGCTACTTAAATTCATGGTACACCAAATGTATAAGTATAGGCAAATTTTGAAGCTTATAATCATTAAAATCAGATATGTAACTATGAAGTATGAAATTAAGGAATATCAAATTAAAAGTAAAGATTGGCCCTATATGATGATAAAATTTTGATGTCTACAATATCAGGGGGCCAAAAGGGAACCCAAATTACTAAGCCTGTTTTGTAGAGGGGGCAAAAGGACCCCAAAGAAAAAGAGACCTGCATAGTTAGGTGGGGAGCAAAGAGACCCCCCATGAGCGCAAAAGGGACCTTCAAGGAATTCAAGCGGCGATAATGCCAGGGTAACCTGGGCTCCATTGAATATTGTTCATGTTATTTAGTAGCCAAGTCTTTTACATATTTATTTGAATATTCAATATAACTTTCGAGAGTAATTAAAAATGCTTAATTTAGGATTTATGATGTTGTTATCATTAAATGTGAGTTTAATGCTTTATGACTTCAACATTTTAATTTATTCTCTTCTTGTATTATAACTGTTATTTAAATTACATAATTTACGGGGCCTCATAGCTTACCAGTTACTTTTTACTGGCTATTTTTACAGGAAAAGGGAAAGGAAAAGTGGAAGAAATTTGATAGAAAAGTGGAAGAAGTTTGATATGCAACTATTTAAGTTTTATATAAATGTTTATTTAATTGTGGTTATCTACTCTTAAGGTTAGTAAAGAAGTTTTAATGTTATTTTACAATGAATTGTTTTGGATTTCGTTAGTGGCTCTGTACAAAGTCTTTGATGCGATGAAATTTGGGGAATTATTAGATGCTTCCTTTGTTATTCCAAATGATGTTATATAATCTTTTATTTAGATATGAATGAATTCAACAGAACTCAGAGGTAAATGATGGAAATGATATGATTATTATTCTCTCTAAAAACACTGATATAGGTTCATCGCAACAACGCCAATCTTGCCTTCAACTTCCAACAAAATTGATTCCATCTTCAATCTTAACTTTTCCTATCGACAATGCCTATCCCTCAGCTTGTCTCTAATATCCAGCATCTCTCTTATCTAGAATCTCATCTTCAGCTCCCAAGAGTGTCAATCCAGTCTCAATTCATCTTTGTCAAGTGATTGATTTTATCTTTGTTTTTGCTTCAATGTTGAACCCGTATTGGCTAGTCTTCGCCTCTTATTTGTAGCACTAGATGTATCATGGACATCGTTGCTCTCAAATGCCTTCCAATGATCAACATCAACCTTCATCTCAGAGATCAACGATGTTTTCATATTTCAACACCCACCATTGATTTTCTCTCGAGTGATCACGAAGACTCATCCATTCGATTATGGGACCGTCGATTCAAGGTTTTCTTACATCGTCAATCTATTTTTTGCAAACATCTCTCAGCAATGGCCTTTCCGGACTTATTCTTAGAAATTTTTTTTTCTAAAAGGCATCATGTAAACGATGTTAACCATATCAAACAATAACCTAGATATTTTTGGTGTAAGCCTCGCAAGTCAAATTTACTCTTCCTAGGAATTTCAATTTCATCTATTGGTCGTGGGAAGAGAATTATGGACACATTCATAGTAGTGATCCAACCCCTACTCAGCTTCCAAAATGAACTCCATGGAAAATCAAAGAAGCAAGAGCCAAGACATGAAACTTGGGATTTATTAATCATGTGATTGTTCTCAATCTAAGACCATATAGGATGAGCAAAGATATAAGGGTGTATGTTAAAAAAATTTAAAATCAAGAAAACACAGTAATATGCTTGCAATTAGAATCTAAGATTGCTAGCAACACCCAAGGTGATCTCTCCATCCAAGATTAATTTTGTGGATTCTAGAATTTATGGACTAAACTTTTTGACGTAATTTATGCTAAAATACTTGTTGTTGCGTCCTAGAATATTCACAGCGGTAGAGAGATATAAAGTTTAGCGTTCAAACTTTATACGAAAATCCAACACACAAACAGGTAGAAAAGATGGATGCATTAATCACAAAAGACACCATAATTTTTACGTGGAAACCCCTAAAAAGGAAAAAAAACCACGAGGTCAGGCCCAATTTGAATGAACCACTAGTGTTTGCAATTGATTACAAATGAGACCCTTCCTTAAGAGGAAGGTCTTGGCTTGATGTAGTAAATATACATCATATAGAGTGCATTATATGGCAGGAGTTGGAAGAATCAGTGTTGATATGTTCGTTTGGGTGGCAAGACCATAGTCAGCGAGCGATGTAGGTCAGAAGAACCATAGTTGGATGATGGTGATCGGAAGGATTGCAGTCGGGCAGCGGAGGTTAGGAGGACCATAGTTGGGAGATAGTGGTCGGAAGGACCGTAGTCGGCGGGCGATGATGGTTAGAAGGACCGTAGTCGGCGGGTGGCGGAGGTCAGACAAATCGTAATCAAAGGGCGATAGTGGTTGGATGAACCGCAATCGGCCGAAGATGGAGGTCAGAAGAACCGTCATTGGTGATGGTGGTTGGAATGATCGTAATTGGATGACAACGAAGGTCGAGAAGATTATAGTCGACGGACGACAGTGGTCAAAAGGACCGTAGTTTGCAGGAGACGGACGTCGAAAGGACCATAGTCGGCGAGCGACGGAGGTCGGGATAACCATAGTCAGCAGGCCTTTCTCCACCTCCCCACTATAAAATCCCAGTGGTAGTACATCACCGACAGCAATCTTTCCGGTGATCTAACCACCGATTTCATCCCAGCTTCCTAACAGCGGATCTAGATGTTTTCAGATGTGGATTTCTTCTAGAGATTTATACGAGAATAGTCTACAAGTTCAACTGTATAAAGATATTGAAGATCCAACAGTATAATTTCTTGAAATCCTTAGATCTAGATCATAATAGTTAGATCCATTTAACTTTGTGTCAAGTACGCTTTAGGCCATATAAATGTATCCCCACCGTTTCTATTCATACACTTAAGATAAAATTT